GGAAATTCATAGCATTATAGGCCTACCTCTAGAAACAAGAAAAATCATAAACAGAGTGGAAATAAACAAAATAGGGTCAAAAAAAAAAAAAAAAACAGCACAAAAGATCAATCCAACCAAGAGCTGATTCTTTGAAAAGATCAACGAAAATGATAAACCTTTAACCACACTCGCCAAGAAAAAAAAGAGAGAGGGCCCACATAAATCAAATAAAAAATGAAAGAAGTAACAATCGATGACACAGAATACAAAAGATTACAAGAAGAAAATATAATGAACAATCATATGCCAACAAAGTGGACAACCTGGAAGAAATGGATAAATTCCTAGAAACATACGTCTTCCAAGACTGAGTCAAGAAGAAACGGAAGTCTGAACAGACCAGTAACTACTAACGAAATTGAATCAGCAATTAAAAAAAATCCCTCCCAACAAACAAAAGCCCTGGCCTGATGGCCTCATAGGTAAATTTTACCCAACATTCAAACATTCTTCTCAAATTATTCCAAAAAAATTCTAGAGGAGCGAAGTCTCTCAGGCTCATTTTACGAGGCCAGCATTACTCTAATTCTAAAACCAAAGACATTGAGAGAGAGAGAGAGAGAGAGAGAGAGAGAGAGAGAGAGAGAAAAGTATAGGCCATTATCTCTGATGAACATAGCTGCAAAAATCCTCAACAAAATATTTGCAAACACAATTCAGCAATACATTACAAAGAGCATTCACCATGATCAAGTGGGATCTATTTCTTGGATGCAAGGTTCATTCAATACACACAAATTTACATGATATACCACATCAACAAAATGAAGGATAAAAATCATATGATCTTTTCAATAGAGACAGGGAAAGTATTTTACAAAATCCAGCATCTATTTATGCTGGATTCTCAGCAAACTGGGAATAGAACATATCGCAACATAATAAAGGCCATATACAACAGACTTACAGTTAACATCATACTCAGTGGTAAAAAGCTAAAAGTGTTTTCCTTAAGATCAAGAACAAGGCAAAGGTGTCCATTATGACGACTTTTATTCAACATAGTATCAGAAGTCCTAGCTACAGCAATCAGACAAGAAAAAGAAATAAAAGGAAATTGGAAAGGAAGTAAATCTGTTATTTGTAGATTACATGATACTAGAGAGAACCCGAAAGATTCCGCAGAACTATTAAAACTGATAAGTGAATTCAGTAAAATAGCAGGATACAAAAATTAATATTCAAAAATCAGTTGCATTTTAAAAAATTATTTGCTTTCAGATAGAGGGGAAGGGAGGGAGAAAAAGAGGGAGGGAAACATTGATGTGAGAGAGAGACATCAATCAGTTGCCTCCTGCATGCGCCAACCGGGGACCTGGCCTGCAACACAGGCATGTACCTTGACCAGGAACTGAATTGGCGACCTTTCGGTTTGCAGGACAATGCCCAATCCACTGAGCCACACCCGGGCAATAAATAAAATATATTTTTTTAACAAGGAAAAAAAATTAAAGCAGGATAATAAATAAAATCTTTTAAAAAAGGAAAAATTTCAAAAGAAAGAAAAGGTAAATAACAAGTATTGGTGCAAAGATGAAGAGATTGGCGAGTTTGTGCATTGCTGGTGGAATGTAAAGTGGTACAGCAGTTGGAAAATTGGTTTGGCAGCTCCTCAGAAATGTGAGTATACAATTACAGGGGGACTTTGGTTTTTGAAGTTAATTCATTCAGGAAGGCTGTTTGAGAATCAAACTGTTCAAGATGGGACACATTTGAAAACCAAGGTTTGACTGCATCATGTGATCCAGCAGTTCTACTTCTAGGTATATACAGTCCAAAGAATTGAAAGCAAAGACGCAAACAGTTACTTGCATACCAATGTTCATAGCAGCATTATTCACAATAGCCAAAGAGTGGAAACAACTCATTGTCCATCGACTGGGTGAATGGATAAAGAGTGGTGTATGTATATACAATGGAATATTATTCAGTCTTAAATAGGAAGGAAATGCTGACACATGGGTGAACCTTGAAAACATGGTAAATGAAATAAGTCAAATACAGAAGGACAAGTAGGCCGATGGAATGGATTAGAGAGCCCAGAAATAAACCCTCATATATATGGACAAAATATTTTTGATATGTGTGCCAAGACCGTTCAATGGGAAGAGGACAGTCTTTTCAACAAATGGTGCAATCTGTTGTGGATTGGTGCAGTTGTACTCATCATATGAGATCCCCAGAGGAGTCAGATTCACAGAGACAGCAAGTAGAACGGTGAGTGCTAGGGGTCCTGGGGGAGGGGAAAGGGGTCAGTGTTTAACAGGGAAGATGAAAAAGTTCTGGGTGGCTGTGATGGCTTCACAACAATGTTTGTGGACTTAATGATACAAATTACACACTCAGAAATGACTAAAATGGGACATTTTATGTTATTTATATACTACCACAGTAAAAACTTCATACAGATGTATAATAAAAAAGGAGACTTTAATATGTTAATTTTTGAAAGAAATAAAAAAAAATTCTTAAGATGGAAAGCTTAATCATGAGCTTGAGCCTTTGATGATAATGCCCAGCTATTGAGCACCTGCTATGTGCTGGGTGCCAGGTTAATCCTTTTAGGTGTACAGTAATGATAAGAAGACACTGAGCACTGGGCATGGCATTATTGAGTGCTTTATGCACATGAACCCAGTATGTCTCCCACCAACTCTGTGAGTTGGGTTCTGTTAACATCCTGGTTCAATGAGAAGGCAGGCACAGAAGGGTGGCGCAGGGTTGGTAGCCTCGTTGCTTGAGAATCATGTCTTGTCTCCTAAGGCCCAGCCTGGATTTTGGGGCTCTGCTGAGTGCCACTGTGAAGGGCAGTGGAGCTATCAAGGTAGAGAGGCCCCCTCCCCTGCCCCAGGAACTGAAATGCAGTTTAGGGAAGGTAAGACCCAGGTCCCAGAGGGCAAACAGCTAGCATTGGGAGAAGATACTGCAGCCCCAGGGGACTCAACTCACTGTAAGCGGGAGACCAGAGACAGGGATGGGAAGAGGCTCCCTGGGGCCCCCCTGTTTGTGCTGCCAGGAGACACATCCCCTAGGCTGCAGACGGGGAGATGAGAGGAGATCAGGCCTGCTGAATTGCAGCCCGAGAACGAGGGAGTCTCAGCTACCCCCAGAATCAGACCCCCAGGCTGTGGGGAGTCACCTCTTCCTGGCCTGCTGCTCAGGGTGACCCAATTTCAGGTTAGAGGCTGCACTAGAGATGTCCCAATGCGACCCAAAGCCACAAACGAGTCAAGGACAGCCAACAAGCCTTGACGTCACAGCCACATGCCCAGACACTCCATCAGAAGGAAAATGACCTGCCCGAGACTCCCCCTAGGATAGGCTGACCACTTGGTGGCATTCTCAGGTGAAGTTACTATCTGCCTCCACCTCTCTGGGGCCTCTAGTCCTGTCCACCTGGGCTTTTGAGCATCAAATTGGGCCTCTGGAGGGCTGTGCAGCTCAGGGGCAGAACCAGGATTCAGAGAGTTCTGCTGCAGGGGCCAGTGGGAAATAAACAAGCTGGGGTGAGGGTTGGGGTGTAGCAATGAAAGGGGACACGTCCCAGTTGGTAAAAAACATAACAACAATGAAAGTGGCCAACTGCTCTGGAATGCAACATGCCAGGCACTGTGCTGTGCCTAGACACATACTCATCCCCATTTTCCAGAGAGAGAGAGAGAGAGAGAGAGAGAGACAGGGAGGATGATTAACTTGGCTAGTGGCAGAACAAGGATGCACATCCGGGGAGCCAGGCTACGAAGCCGCATGCTCAGTCGCTGGGTGTCTGTCTCCCCCAGGCTCTGCTCCACTCCAATTGACTCCCTTGTAGGAGTGCCAAGCAGCCTTTATGGAAAGGCCTGGCATTTGTTTTGTGAAGGTCGCACAGAGGTTAAGGGCAGGCCCTGGTGTATATCCGCCAGGCGGACGCGTGGTACCAGGTTTGTCAGTGCAACAGAGTTGTCAGTGCAGTTAACTGTGGGAGGCTGTTCAAGGGCACCCGCAGGCATGTAGGCTGTCTGTGTGGATTTCCACACGTGTGTGTTTGAGTGGGGTCTGGGTGTTCACAGTGCCTGTGCAGATCTGTGCCTCTGATTCCGTGTGAGTTTGCGAGGGTGTACCTGGGTGCCGCACACCTGTGCTGAGACCGCCCCTGCCTCCTGAGTGGGTGTGAGGTGTGCTCTTGTGTGTGGCCGCGCACCGGTGGGAATCAGGCCTGGGTGTGTGTTGCGGTGAGTGTGTTCCTGCAGGCAGTGCAGCGTATAGGAGGCTGTAGAAGGCCCGGGATTCTGTGTGTCACCATGGCCATGGGCCAACTGTGGGGTTCTTTGTGTTCCCCCCACCCAGGAGATGGGACTGTTTTGTGTGTGGGTGTGTCTGCTTGTGTCGTGTGCAGCTGTGTATGTGAAGTGTGTGTGTCCAGGTGTCTGAAGGGGTTCCTGGAAGGGACCAAGAATATTGCTGGAGCACCCCAATAATTCTGAGAACGTAAAGGCCACTTCTCTGCCCCACCGCTGTCTATACATTCTAACTACCCCCGGGAGTCCCAGCAGGAGCCTCCTCCCCACACCCATCCCAGCCTGGTGTTCAGCCTGGCAGTCCCAGCCAGGAGGAAGGACGGGTACGGCCTGAAGGACCTGGCTGGAGGCCGGTGGCCTGGGAGTGGAGCCCAGGTGACACTGGACACTCATGCTTGCTCCCAGGGTGAGTGCCAGAAGCCCAGGTTTAGGGGTACAAAGAGGGTGAAGGGGGTCCCATCTTGGGTAGGCTGTAAGAGGCAGGACCCAGCACCCATTTTCAGAGCCACCACCTGCAGGGAGCCCTCAGAAGCACCCAGATGTTTAGGACCAAGGAAAGGGGTGGGGCTCCAGGCAGACTCTGAAAACCACTGTAGATTCCCCTAGGCAGATTAGGCACCCCCAGCAGCTCAACCAGAGCCTTTTGGTGGAAAAGGAGAGGACTGGCCGCCGGCCACCCACCTGACAGATCTGCCTGGAGGGTGCCAACAGGTGTCCTCGTCGCTGAAGGAGAAGTGGATCAGGGATTCAGGGCCCGCAGAGGACAGTGCTAGGGCAGGGGGCCAGGGCCGGCCCGGCGGGCTGCACTGGAGCGCCCGGGTGCCAAGCGCCCTCCGGGCGCGCATGGGGACGGCTGCACGCACCGTGGTATTGCGTGCACTGCTCGCCGGGCCCGAGGTGTCTGCGGCTGCCCGCAGCGGCACCGCCTCCACACCCGCCCTCCCGGGTGACTCCCCAGACCATGGGCGTTTGGGCGTCCTCAAGTCCGCAGCGCCAGGGCGGGCTCCGTGCCTGCCTCCTCCTGCAGGGCCGGGCAGAACTCTGCGCGCACTTCCCGCCAGCTTCCCTTCCCCCGGGTCCGGAGGGGCGGGGAGGTTTCCCAAGCTTCGGGCCCACCCCTACCCCCCTGGCTCCGCCTTCACCCCCTCCGCATCCTGACGGGGAGCTGTGCCCTCTGGAAGTCTCTCAGCGTCTTGTGCTCCTGGAGGGAGGAGACGCCCGAACCGGTGGAGTGCGGAGTCCGGTGACAAAAACCCGGGGGAGGGACAACGGATGCCAGAGGTGGAGCTGGGGCGGGGTGCGGGGGAAACAGAGACAGAAGAAACAGAGAGAAGGGGGGACAGAGACTTTGAGAGAAACCGGAGAGAGGGACTGATTCCTACCCCCACTCCCTCCCCAGCCCCACGCGGGGCTCCCAGAGGCCCCGACCTCCTCCTCCTCTTCTCTCCCTGCCCCTGCCTCTTCCGCCGGGTCCACTTCTGTCACCGGAGTCCCCTCTCCCAGTCTGTGTCTCCGGACTCTGGTACCAAACCAGTGCGTACAGAGAGCACCGCTAAAGGGTAAAGAGGCCAGAAGATCCTCTCCCAACTCCGGAGAATCCCCAGCGCCAGCCTGTGCCCACCTCCAGGCTGCCAACCTCCATCTCCAGAATAAAGGGACACTGCCAGCCCCTGCAGCCCACCCGGGAGTGTCCAGGAAGGGAACTTCCATTTGCCTCCGTGCCAGGTGCACGCGGTGCCCAGCGAGCGAGCCGGACGGCAAAGCAACCCTGAACGCAACGCTGGCTCCGTTTCACAGGCCGTACGCTGAGGCCGACGGAACTGCACACCTGTGCTTAGATCACCCTGGGTAGCAGATTGGCCTCGCTCCCCCAAAGCCTGACCGCATACTCAGGTCTGCACAGGAAGTGGGAGGAACGTAGCCTTTATTGAGCGCCTACTGCATGCCCTATCAGATGTCTCCACGGCAACCCTGGCGGGCAGGGATGATTTTATCGCTGCCTTGTGACTGAAGAGGAAAAGTGAGGCTGGACAGAGCCAGCTAAGAGCTCCGAACTTCGACGCGCTCCAGGTGGCCAGGGAAGACTCGAACCCGCCGCCTCCTGGGCGCACTTACCCTGCCCACGCCTGGCGGCCGAAATCCTGGAAACTGCGGAGAAGCCGAAGGCGCCTATGGAAAGTTGGGGACGGGCTGCCGAAGAAGACGGGAGAGGAGGGCGGCGAACGTGGCCAGCGGGGCGCGCGCGGGGCCACAGGCTCTTGCAGGAATGCCTCGTCCTCGGCCACCGCCGCCGGGAAGGCTGCCAGATGCAGCTCGGGGATGCAGGCTAGGCGGCGCGGCCGCGCCATAGCCGAGGGTGGGGGCGGGGGGGGGCGGCCCGGCCTTGGTGGGCGCTAGGGAGCAGTGCCCGCCCGCCCCACGCGGCCCACGCAGGCCGGCCGCCCAGCCCTGGGGCCCACGGGCCCCACCCCGCCCGGCCGCCTCGGCCCTTCCGGCTTCGTGCTAGGGCCGCCCCTAGGGCGTGGCGGGACTGGGACGCTCGCCCTAGGGCTGCAGCGGGGACACCTCACAGACCCCAGGGCCCCTGCAGTCCCTCTCATGTTCTCACACTCTCCGGAAGCGTCCCTAAAACAGCTGGCACGCCCCCAAAATCTCTGGGACATTCTCACAACTCCCAAATCCCTGGGTTCTGAGAGGTCCCCATAGATCCAAGATGTCCCCTAGTAGTATCCTCATTGTTACTGAGACATCTCCACAAACCTCAAGGGCACCCCAAAATCCCTGGAGGCACCTACAAATGACGGGTGCTTTGAGATCCATCAGAAATCCCTTCATCTAAATCCCAGGACCACTGCTACAGTTCCTCAGATGTCCCCCAAAGCCCCCCATACCCCCTAGAGTACCCTAGCCACCCCCGGGTCACACGCAGAGACCCCTCAGGGCACTGCTGGCGTCTCCCACAGCCACAAACCATTCCCACAGGTCCAGGCATGAGGGCCCCCAATGCTTAGGGTCCCTCACAGACCCTGGAATGTTTCCACATTCCCTCAGAGATCTCCTGGTCCCTGAGTGGCTCTACAGCCACCCTGAGAGGCCCCCGACAAATGCAGAGATCCCAACATAATCTCAGGGGGACCTTGAGACTTGGGGTACTCCCATAACATGGAGGTGCCGCCAAAATCCTAGGGTGCCTCATAAACCCCAGGGGTACAACTAGATTCTCCTGACAATTATACAACCCTAGGATACCCCCAGAATCCAAGATGTACCCACAATCTTTGGTAGCCCCCCAGTATGCCCCCCTCAGCTTCTAAGACATGCCTTACAACTCAGACACCCCTAGGAGATCTGAGTGTGCTCATAGCCCCAAGACACTCCTTAGAATCTCAGAGGCACCTCTTAGAATTGGAGCCCCCACACCTCATGAGGTGACCCCAGGACCCAACCTCCCCTCAGTGCAGACTTCCACACAGGCATAGTAGTAGGCAGGCATGGGGACTTCCTGGCACTCCCCCCCGGGGTGGCACTGCATGCCCAACCACTGCGACTCTTGGGGGCACATTAGCCCCCTTCGCAGATGAAGAAACTGGGATTCAGAGAGGCGAACACCTTGAACAAAGTCAGCTAGCTGGTTATAATTCTGGCGCTTACTCCAACCTGTCTGTGGCTTTTAGGGGTTCGGAAAGGGGGAGAATCTTTTTTTTAAATAAGAAAAGTGGGCCAATCTCTATTTTAGGGTTGTCATTTCTGTAAATACTTTTCCTCCTGTTGGCTCTGCTGTCATGGGACCCAGAGTTGGATGGCCCAGGCTTAGGTCTGACCTTTGGCACTTGGTCATTTGACCTTGGGACAGTCATTTCATTTCACCAAACCTGTTTTCCCACCTGTAAAATGGGTATATTACTGCACATCTCATGGATGGACATGGAAAAGGCTCAGAGAAGTGTGCACTCACTGAATGTTAGTTATTATTTATAATTTATTTAACAAAACATTTATGAAGAGCTTATAACGTGCCAGCCACTGTACCAGGCAGAGGATACAGATGATGAGAACGATGATGATTATAGCAGCAAACCTTCAGAATGCTTCCTAGCTATGATCTCATTTAATGTTCACAAAACACCTGCAAAGTGCTGTCCCCATTTTAAAGATTGGGAAAACTGAGTCTTGGAGAGACACAACCTGCTCAAAGTCACACAGCCAGTGAGTGGCCGATCCAGGGTCTAGACCAGCGTTTGTCACCCCATATTTCATTAGTGCCTCCCTAAGGAGTAGCCTTTTTAGACATTCCCTCCCCATCAGCTCCTCCATGAAATGTTAATACCACAGATATACTGTATATTTATGTATTGTGTGTATATGGGGGTTTTGTACATATTTTTTTTTTACACATCCACCCCAAGATCCAAATTTTGCACCCATGGAGGTGATACTGCCTTGTTGGGAATGCACAGTTTCCTAACCTGGGCACTATTGACATTTGGCGCCTGATAATCTTTTGTCCTGGGGGGCAGTCCTGGGCGCTCTTAGCAGTAGCAGAATCCTTGGCTTCAACCTACAAGATGACAGTAGCATCCCCCTAGTCATGACAACTAAAATGTCTCCAGCCATTGCCATGTATCCCCTGGGGAACAGAATTAATCGCTCCCGGGTGAGAACTCCTGCTCTAAACCCATTAAGACTCCTCACTGGCCACCAGGATCCCTTGGTCCAAGTACAAACAGAAAGGACGGACATTCACGTTTTACCTGCCCTCAGACTTCCGAGAATCGTTTTCGCTGATCCCTCACGTCAGACTTCGGGAATAGGTTCCTTACAGGCCCATTTCAGAGATGCGAAAGCCAAGGCCCAGAGAGGAGGAGTGACTTGGCCAGGGTCACCCAGCTCAGAAGGGGCAGACCTGGGTTATTAATCCAGTTGTCTGGCTCCAGGGACTGGGAGCCAGTGAACGTTCCTTCCAGCCCAGTGAATTTTCTCCCTTCCTAGGAAGTTAGATATAAACTGAGGCCTAAAGCCAACCTTGACCATGGCCTGCAATGCCCTACACGAGCTCCCCATCACCTCCCAGCCTCATTTCCCTTCACTCACCCCTTGCTCACTCTGCCCAGACCACATCTGCCTCCCTACTTTTCCTCTCACACATCAGACCCACTCCCACCGCAGAACCTTTGCATTGGCTGGTCCCTCTGCTTATCACCCTCACCCTCAGACACCCACATACCCTCCCCTCTCACTTCCCTGAGGCCTCTGCTCAAATGCCATCTCCTTGGAGAGAGCTTCCCTATGCCCAGCGTCCCTCTTTTCTTCATGCCCCATGTGTCACCATGTGGAATTATCACATCCCTTTACTCACTATTTCTTCCTGGCCCACTAGTCTGAGAACTGGAGAAAGGGGCTGGGCCTATCTTCAGTTGCAGCCTGAAGACCCTCAATCAATGTGGAATGAATAGCCCTGCTGTAGGTGAGGAAAGTGAGGCTCCGATGGTAAAGTCCTTTCCCAAGGTCACACAGCAAGTCAAGGGCAAAGGCTGGACTGGAGCTTTTACTCAGGAGTGAAAACAGTGGGCCAGATGCCCGCGGCCAAACTGTCCTCACCCTGCCTGTCTGTGGCTCCCCCTGACTTGCATTGAATCTGTTACTGCAAGAAAGAAAGGGCACCTTGGCAGTCAGGGCCTGGGTTTGTGATGTGGGGGACACCACTGCTGAAGTCATTTTGAGGAAGTGCAGTTCTTAAAACACCAGCTCCTTGATGCCCAGCCCTGATGTCAGCCATCTCAGCCTTACCACAGCCCTACGGACGGGGCGGTGAGCGGATCTTATTCAGCCCGGTTTACTGATGAAGAAACTGAGGCTCGGGGAGGCCTGATCCCTGGCCCCAGTTCACACAGAGAGTAAATGGGCAGGGGCACAATCTGAATCAACTGGTCTGGAGCCGAGGGGACCTCGTTTTTAACCCCAATTCTGCCCCTGTGGCTGTGTGACCTTGGGCAAGCCACTTCGTCTGTTTCCTCGGC